CTGAGTATATGGACCCGTCAGATGGTGAAATGGATGATGAAGAAGAAGCACCAAAGAATGAAGAAGATCCACTTCCTGGTGTCGTCAATGTGTTCTTGCCTCGACTTTCTCAAGAGGATCGAGAACGGACACCGAGGAGACGGGAATCCATTCAGTCAACTGTGGCTCCAACAGAGGGAGAGCGCCCCGAAGACAGTGATGTTCTGACAAGCCCAGCAAGTCCAAAGAGGAAGCTTGACACAGTTCCAGAAGGGAGTCCCCAAGAAAAGACAGCAAGGACATCACCTTCCTCGTCTGCTGTGCCAGCGATCCATGAAGGAGAAGTTGTGATGACTGGCATGGATGGCAGTGCGATCCCAGTTCCAGATGATGACGACTTGGTGATTGATGACATCAACTTCACAGAACTCCCCGAAGATGCACCTCAAGGATGGAGAGTTGTTGACGGCTACATCGAAATGGATGACATCATGATGGCCGCCATCCGGAAGGGAGAAGTGAATGAGAGGAAGTTGAGTCCTGAAGATCGTGCAAAATTTGTTGAAGGCAAGAAGAACGAGTTGAATCAGTACTTCAGCAATGCAGTCTGGCAAATCGCCACAGGGAGTGAAATCGAAGATGCCATAAAGTCCAAGCGTGTGATCACCGCACGATGGGTCCTGACATGGAAGAAGGTAGAGTCAGAGGACGGCATCATTCGATGGAAGGCAAAAGCTCGCCTCGTACTACGAGGATTCCAGGATCCTGACATCCTGAGCATGAAGACGGCATCGCCGACAGCTGGAAGAACTGCCAGAATGTTCCTGCTGATGACTGCAACCTGGTTGAACTGGAGTGTCTACTGTGCAGACGTCAAGGCTGCATTTTTGTCTGGCAAGGGTTTTTCCAGGTCACTGATCGTTCGCCTTCCTGCTGACTGCTTGCCGCTGATCGATGGAGCACGCCAAGGGCTTTACAACAAGCACCTCTACATGCGCATGCTCAAGTCTGCCTATGGCCTGTGCGATGCACCACTGCTGTGGTATGAAGAGGCCACAAGCCGGTTGACGAAAAGAGGATGGATCAAACATCCTATTGATCAGTGCTGCTTCATGAAGAAAGCATCCAAGGGACATCAGCTACTCGGCCTTTTGATCCTCCATGTCGATGACATGCTTGTGGCCGGGAACTACCAGGAGTCTGAATTCCAAGATGTCCTAAAGTACCTCAAGGCAGACTTTGATTTTGGCAAGTGGGATGAGCTTGGTCCCCAACAGCCTTTGAAGTACTGCGGAGGCACGATCTTGCAGACTGAGAAGGGCATTGAAGTGAGCTATGAAGAGTACATCAAGAAGATATGCCCAATGAACATTGGAAAGCACCGAAAAGATGAAGATGACATCACCCCGGCAGAGCTTAGTGCTGCCAGAGGTCTGATCGGTGCACTTCAATGGCCTGCGACTCAAGGCATGCCAATCTTGTGCGCCAGCATGTCAATCCAAGCTGGTGAGATTCCAAAAGGGCAAGTTCGTCATTTGAAGGAGTTGAACAAGACCCTGAGGTTTGCAAAAGCAAATGCAAGTGTAACCTTGAAGTTTCTTGCCAAGCCCAAGAAGAAGACGAATGACCTGAACAGCCTGTGCCTGATCTGCTATGCTGATGCCGCGTTCTCAGTGCGGCGAGATCTGACATCACAAGGCGGCTTCGTGATTCTGGCTTGCGAGAAGGGAGTGCTTCATGGCGAAAAGCAACCAGCCTCCATCCTCTCATGGAGGTCTTTCAAGGTTCCAAGGGTCTGCCGATCCTCTCTTGCTGCCGAATGTCAGGCCTGTGCAACGGCCCTCGAAGAACTTTTGATGTTGAAGACTTTCCTTCAGGTCCTCAAGCAGCCTGGAGTTGAGCTCAAGGAGAGCAAAGGGCAGCTGCATGGAGAGTGTGCCATGGTGACGGATTGCAAGGCCCTATACGATGCCGTGCATCGTGAGACGATCCAGCAGGCGACAGACAAAAGGGTCGCCATAGAAGGTCTGGTGATCAAAGATCTTCTACATGACCTCCATTGTCAATGGAGGTGGGTCAGCTCCGAGCGCCAGTTGAGTGACGGCCTGACAAAGGTCGGTGCGAGGCAAAGCTTTGTGGAGCGATTTGTTGGCAGCCATGTGCAGTTGGTCGCAGACTATGCCTTCACAGCTGCAAAGAAGAAGAGTCGTGAAGAAAGAGCTGGAACAGTGTCAGAAACAAGGACAACAAGGTCCGAAGTTGCCACCGCCCTCGTTGCAATGGTGATGGCTTCAACAGCTACAAGTGTTGGAGGAAGTTCACTGAATGAGACCGTGATGGTCAAGGAAGATGAATGGAGTGGCATTGACATGGCTCTGATGGTCACTTTGATCGTTGGTGCCCTGACGCTGATCTGGTTGATGCAGCTCCTGTTCCACCGATGTCAAGGAGAGAAGAAAGAAGGTGATGAAACAGCAGATGATGATGTCTCGCAGACAATGGCTGATCTGCTACAAGAAAATGAAGATTTGAAGATGGAAAACCAGAAGTGGCGCAAGGAGAATGAGTTCCTGCGTCAAGAGATGCAGAAAGCCAATGCGAAGGTGAGATCACTTCACCAAGATCTGCACACCAAGAGCTATGGCTCAAAGCCCAAGACGGTGGACGAGTTGGAGTTGATTTTTATAGCACCCCAGGGTGAGTGTTAGCACGTGAGTCCGAAATGTGCAGGCTCGAGTGCCTCAAGCCGCCGAAGGTGCCATAAGTGCTGTCACTAAGGCCCTTTCCCTTGTGTGAGTTTTCTGCAAGAAAACCTGTGTCCATGAGGGTGTGACAGCATTTTTGCATATCCCGCCGCTCCGAAAAGGCTCCAGGGCGGGATGTGCGCACGTTGATCCATGGAGAACCTTTGAACCTCGTGACTGCGCCAAAACCGTGTTTGCTGCGTGGCCTTAGGGTTGTACGCTGAGCTGGATTTGACTTCGAGAGCTGCCAGTGTTTTGTTGCAGTGCTATTTACAGTACATTACAGTACATTAATTCGCTTCGAGATCTTCGAATCATTTCGACTGCGCAGGCTTGCAGACTCTGCTGGGCCCAAGGGGGTGCTCTTCGAGACTGCGCTCTCGTTGTGGTGCCATGCGCATTTTCGGACTTGGTGATCACTCTTTGTGGCAGGCGCAGGGGAAACCTCGCGTTTTGGTGGTCTAAAGGCGACTTGTCGTGACAGGTGCAGGAGACCGGAGCGGTTTTACGTCGATGTGCGGATTTCGTGGCAGGCGATGGCCGCTGTCGCTTCATCACTGTGAGGTGCCTGACCAACCGAATCCAGTTTAAGGACCAGCACCAGGCTGAGAACAAGTGATGAATATTTGAGGCGGGGTCAAAATAAGTGTAGACTACTTTAGTCAGGAGGGGTCGATGTGAATGGCTTAGGGTGAGGATGTATTGGAAACCGATAAGGTCCCCCCCCAAAACCGATAACCTATGTATGATGGTATTTATTATCATTCCTGACAGATCCTTGCAGTACCTGTTGCATGTCGAATGAAAGCCCCACTGACAGTACCTTAGTGGGCGGCTTCAGCCATATGATACGGAATCAATATTTTTGTTGCTGTTTGTCTTTCTTTTTATAATCTGCAGCCATCTCTTGAAAAAATCCGGATTCTATGTGGGCACTATGCCGATAACGAAACCGATAACTCGCCGATAACCGTCTGGATATGTTTTCAGCTTTCATAGCCACTTGCCCAGAGCCTGCTGACAAGAAAGCTAAATTCCCTATTGAAGACATTGGTCTAGCCTTTCTTTTTGAGAACTTACATGTTAGTACTTTACATCCCAGCCAACAGAAGGCCGATAAATATTGAGATAGAGACAGGTACACCAAATTTCACCAACCCCTCGAGATTGCAATGCCTTTGTCCTCTGCTGACAAGCGAGCTGTGAACAAGCTCGTCATCCACTGCTTCTGATTTCAGCGAGTAGGTAGCTCCGCGTCATGCATCCACAATGTAAATGCGAATGCCAAAAGCATCTGGCTGAACAAAAAGCTGAACACCGATAAGGTCTCCCCCAAAAACGATAACGATATAAAGCATCCTTAGCATGAATTATTGATTTTGACCGTGGCTCATATGAGCCTTCATGTATGTGACTTAAAGCCTAATACCTCTAACCCCTTCTCAAAGCCAGGCCAGTCGTTCTTCAGATCTTCAGGACCTGAGTAATTGAGGCTGGTTCCTACTCCGTCGGCGATCCGCGACAACCCCCTCAGTCCGACCACGAAAACCTCCGGCCGGACGCAGAAGGGCCCAAGGCCAACGCAGAGAGGCGAAAAAGAAAAGGTCAGCTACAGTAGCTAGCGAGTGAGACCAGTGTATGCAAATGTCGCAAAAAAAAGGAAAACGAGTCAGACACCTACTTACAGACTTGGGTTCGGGAAAGGGAGACCACCCAGTGAAAATAGCAAGACAAAACTTCTGAAAGCACCCACCTTCAACCCTCATTGGATCGAGCCACAGAAAGTTGGCCGTCCAGGACAGACCTGTTTGTTGTTGTTTTTGTTGTTTGTTGCGCGTGGTTTTAACACAGAATGTGGGGTGTGATCGGTTTTGAACTTTCAACAAAGCCTTCAAACGCAACACGGAAGGACAATTTGATTTGCCTGGTGGTTCAGGTAGTTTTCTCCATCCATGTAGAACATATGATTCTGATTTTATGTGCAACCAACCGAGCCACCACAACCTTTTTTGTTAGGTTTTCTGGTGACTCATGGATTACTCCATTGGGCTTTTGATTACATCCAGGTGATAATCCCAAATGAACTCTTCCTGCCACTGCCATCTTCAACCACTCTTGGTGCCGACACCAGCAAAAACCCGAAGCCCCACCCCGAACCGCACACCGAACCACCGATGTTCGAGTCACGTCCTTTCCATCGACCCCGTGGTTCTCCCAGCGGGTTGGACACGCCGAACCAAGGAGAACTTCATCCTTTGGGGTGGAGATGTCGCTCGGATGGAGGCTCATCAGGCGAGCCTGGTTTGGGGCAAGACATGGAGAGATGGACGACAGCCTCGTTGCTTGGTGTGGAAAAATGGAACATGTTGTTGTGTTTTTACTACCAGACACAAACCAACTCAACAGTTGTTTGCAAAATTTATTCCCTCATTCCCAACTAATCACGAACCAGTAACAGAGTCACGCTTCCTTGTGAGATATTTGAAAGGGTTGTAGTATTTAGCAAGGGTCAGGTCACGGCAGCTTTGAATCTGTATGCGTGGTGTGTGGTTTTGGGCATTGCAGTCGGTGGACTTCGAAGGCTCAAGTCTAGAGGAAGATTGGGTGGTTCATTTTCCCTTTTGCGTCGATTCTGTTTGAGGTCATTAAAAACAGAGGACCTGACCAAATCCCAGACACTCCATGGGACAGGAATATATACTAATACATCAATTGACCCCTGAAATCAACCACCACTGGCCCAGACAGGGATCAGGTCTGCCAGTCCCAGACAGGTCGTGTTTGGGATTGTGACTGGGAATGAAAGCCAACACCAAAACTCGTTGTCTTTTAGGGCGAGGCTCATCGCTTGAGTCGATGATATTTTCGCCGAATCGCCGGTGTTCTTTCGTCGAAGTCGATGGTATAGCGACCTTTTTGGAAGCTGCATGTTCAAAGGATTCAGCGAGGTTTTAAGGGCGTCCTATCCCCCTAGAGTTCCCGGCCCTTGTCCTCAGAAGATCCCAGAAAATGGGCACAGACCCCTTCTGGTACCCACCCCAACCACCTTTGAAACAGAGGTAGTTGGATACCTGGGGAACTGTCTGTGGGGTTGGGACAGTCTGCGCAAAACGCCTCTGAACGATACCTAGTGGAGGGAACGGTTATTGGTCGAACATGGTGTCCCAATGAAGAAAGGGACAGGCCAGCAGTGTGCATTGTTCCTATTTGTATGTTGGGTTGTGGATGTTTGTCGTGGCATTCGTATCAGGAGCTTAGATATTCCGTAGAGCGGGACTCTTTTTGAATCTCTCAAGAATATACTAGAAGCTCCTCTACAAGTTTGTGTGTGTTTAAGGCTTGTGCTTTTCAAGTACCAGTCGCTCCATGGCACAGTTTGCTTTGGCTAAGCTACGTGGCACAGTTTGGTTTGGATCTGCCAAGCTTAAAATTCAAAACAAGTTTCAAAGCCGGTTACAAATAAAGCCTTTTCTTGTCCACGGTACACATGGACACGTTGGTTTCCAGTCAGACGAGTTGTTTTTGGTGTTTGCACCCCCAAAAGCATATCACATTGCAGTTTGTGGCGATTTGTCGACCAACTCAGCAGGCAAGCTTTGCAGCAACCCAACTTTCCACAAAGATGTGCCATGGATACCGCTTCATTTGATGCCTGTTCAATGGTATAATCTACATACAATGGTGCATCATTCTACTTGTCCCTAGGGATCCAAGTACGACCTCTAAGAAGTCGTGCGGTCGCATCTACGACCGCACGACTATGACGACTCGTGAGTTCATGAGCTGTCGTGTCTGCCTCACCTTCTCCAAGTCTCCAAGTCCTCGTGTCACTGAGAGGTACCGTTCGGAACGTAGAACTGACTGATTCACCCCAGACAGCGCCCAACTCGCGCAGCGCAGGTGGCGCGCATGATCCATGCCAGACAGCTACTGGGCGAGTCGAGAGTTGACCACCGAAACAACACGTATGTGTCTATCAGATGACGAACCGGCTGACGGATCAAGATGGATCAATTAACATGAACCTTAAGATAATTTAAGAGATCCCAATTAGTAAAGTAATGAATCCTAGTGAATCCCACGTGTTGTACCATTTCTATCCGGCCTTTTTTTTGACCAGGGAGGCAGGGTCCCTAATGACCCGCATGTTTGCGGGTTCTTAGGACTCAAGACGAAGTGCTTCCTGCAGCGAGCGCGAGCTGGAGCGCTCCAGCTCCTGCAGGAGGTGATGATTTAGAGCCGATGAGAGGTACTGGAATATTCCTGGGAGATATTCTTTTTCACAGTGATTGATCCGGCACATGTGTTAAGAACTCTGCCCAAACCAACTGTGGTGGTGTATGATGGTGTATGTTGTGATCTCATGGCACAGTTAGAATACGCACTAGGAGAAAGCAAGAGCCTTGGTACCCTTCTGGTTGATACCAGATACTCTCCTCAGTCTGTCCAACAGCTCTTCAATCTTGCGCGGCCATCTCATCAATGAGAAAGGTGACTCACACCTAAAGAAATCACACATCCAAACTTAAATATTCTTAATTTTACATTTTATACTTACATTATATTATGTATGAATTATATGAGTCAACCTCAAAATTATCATCAACCACTTTTGAAGGGACGTTTCATCCATATCGTTGTGTTTGTGTTTTCCTTGAAAAACGATACGGGACTCACAAAAAAAACGATACCCCTGTAGAACTTAGTTGAGGTTTCTTTTGATATGCCCGTTGTTCGATTGGAAGCTGGTTGTGCTTAAAAGGGGGATCTAGCTATGCCAGCCATGTGGCGTGTGGAGAAGCGAGAGCCTACTCATGGTTGCTGAAGCTGAGCCGTTGCAAGCCGTTGCTGATTTCTTTGGTGCCGCTAGGTGCGCCATGGCTGCGGAGGCTAAGCCACTGCTGATCTGGTCGGCGCTACTCAAAAGCTGAGCCGTTGCTGATTTCTTCAGCGCCGCTGGGTGGACCCTGGTAGGGGAGGCTATAAGCCATTGCTACTGTTGTCGGTGCTGGCTTTGCCTTGATTGCCCAGAGACGATCTTATGGGATTTATCATCTATTATAAGTCTTCACAGTGCAATCATAGCTAGCGCAGACATATATTGAAGAATTTCTCAGCTTCATGTCGCGACTGCTTTCAGAACTGCAGCCCTGCTTCATCCAAAGTGAGTAAATTTCGCACAAGTGACGGTGGTCCCAACAGTTTGCCTTATCGATACCCCTATCGATACCCCTCCACTGAGGCCAGACGACTAAAGTGATCCATGGACCATTTGATCTCCTGTCGATACCCCTGTATCAGGTCTAGTTGAACTCATCGAGCGGGCTGCTGCAAGGTCAAAGTTGGCTGCAGCCCCCCAGACTGCTGCTGCGCCTAAGACAGCTGTAGCCAAGAACAAACCAAAAGTAATATAGAGCCAAAACTCCAGAGCAGGTCCGTGGGCAGAGTACCCTTTTCGAACGGTATTGCTTGAAAACAATGCCGTGATCTGGTGGAGATTGCGGACCTGTGCAACTTCCTGGAGGGAAGAAACCGTGATGCACGAAAGATGGATGCTACTGCGCCTGTCTTGGTTGTCATCAACGATGTCGATTCTCAGAAGAAGCCCGGACAGCGAATAATTTTCATATCACCCGCACCTACTGCGTGTCAAGTCCTCCATTGGCTCAGGCTGGCAGCAAGGTCTTCAATCACATATTTTCCAACATGGCTGCAGCAACCAATCTCACCAATAACATCGAGCTCATGCCTAGCAAAGATTGTGCCCCTGCTTATAGGCGAGGTTTTTGGTCAGAGGTCGAAAGAGAACGCTGGGACCACGAAGTTAGGCCCCTAGGACTTCATGACGAAACATCCTTGACTAGGAGGCAGGCAGCGCAAAGCCATTTGATAGCAGAGGGTGCCGACCAGTGCTATACAGGAATGCTTGCTGCACACAGCTTGGTTTTGAGAAAAGGGTGAGGCGGGCTCAGAAACAGAAGCAAATGGCAGCAACAAAAATAGAAGCAGCTATGAACACATCTGGATCAGACAGTTCAACTTCTTCTGGCAGCGAGACCTCCGACACCTGCTCGGATAGTTGAAAATGTGGACCCCAGAGGTTATACAGTTACAAATCATCTAGATTCAAAGACTCCCCTCTGTGGATGTGAAATCCTCCTTGTGATTCCAGTGGATATTGCATATGATCTTGGCAATGGTGCTTCCTCTCTGCCCGTTGTGGCCTTAATTGATCGGCATCGTGCTGAACTTTGTTACTGCCCAGTGCCGATATATGGCAATGTCCATGTGGCAACGGTGCTCCAAGCTGGTAGTGATGAGGGAGGGCTGCAGAAATGCCACGCTTCACCGGAATGTGACTAGTCGAGTTGGATAGGGATGTAGTTGCATGAGTATCATAAAAACCAAAACCTTGGAAAACGATACGGGACTCACAAAAAGAAAACGAAAACAGCCCAGCCAGATAATATTGATGCTAACTCATATAGTGCTGTTTTTGATGCCTTCTATGTGTTCTTTCGATGTTTCTCTTGGAGACCACTTCCACCTGTGTCCGTCCCGCCCTGCCAGCGCCATCCGAGGTTTCCCAGTTTCTGCGTCCTGCTCCCGGCGAGCGTCGAGGAGATCCGCGTCATAGGCGCCCAAGGGCGGGGGCTCGGCCCGGGCTCGGCCACCCACCGAAGACGTGGGGAACACCCAAAGAATCGAAAAGAACTGCATGGTTTGCGCTATGTTCATGGCTCCTGGCCATACTACTAGCAAGGACGCTGCTACGTTCGGGGCTGGCATCGCTACGAACGGAGCGTTCGGACACGAAAGAGTTTGTTGCAAAAAGGTGCGTTCTCTGTCACAGAACTTCGCCCCTTGTGGCCCCCTCCGGACGTCAGAGGGAATCAACAAAAACTCCGTGTTGCGGGTAGTTTGCCTTCAGATCTAACCGAGCAGAATTTTAAAGATTTGCGTCAGTCCTTAGTCCATTGAACACATTAATATAAATCCAGCTGGCCTCAGAGATCTCTAGAGATAACTTAATCATCTTAATCATGAACATATCATATTATAAGTATATATATATGTTGCGGTAAAAAGAAGTACCGTATATGTCAAAGATTTGGAGGTAAGGTTCAATTTAAAGACCAAGCCTTTGGATTTAAACAAAAACACTTAAATCCAGCTGGCCTCAGAGATCTCTAGATGTTGAGAACTTTTAAATATGTCAACACTAAAAAACAACACTTGGACCTATGTATTATGTTGTTTTAACCCAAAGGCGTCAAACAGCTTTAAATTAAGGACAAACATCCAAATCCTATATATATATGCATATTGCAAGTAGCAGAAAGGGTTTCTATGTCATGTTCCTTCAGGGAAAGCTCTGGTAAGCAGGAACCTGGTTCCACGTTTTCCGTTTTGTTTAGGTTCCTTTGCAAAATCTATTTTGCTCTTGTTACCGTAACGTTCCAAAGGTAAACACATCGAAAATATGTGTCTGTAGTACTGTTTGATGATGTATGGTGAAGTCTCTATTCAGGAGGCTTCATACATTGTTTTGGCTTTGTGTGTATCAGAGTTTCATGCAATGGAGTTTAATGGATTTTAGTATTAGGTCACTTTGCTTTGTTGGTCATGTGTGAATAGTTCAATGGTTTGGCATGAAAATAATATGCGCCCTGGCGGCGCAGAGGCTCAACAATTTTTGAGTCACAAGCACCCAGGTCAGGCCCTTGAACCATGCTCATTTGAGGCTCCAGGTGTAGATGTTTAAACCACAAGCATAACTTTGAAAAGATATTATATAGCCTTTTGGTATTAGCAGTCCCAATATTTGTTGCCAAACTTGTGGCTGTAAATCTGCAACATGTGTATATACAAATACGCATTATACATACACATACAGACACACTCATATGCACATACACACATACAGATATACATACATACCTAGCTACCTACCCGCATACCTATATACATACCTGGAACCCAACTGACCCCTGTTTTGATAGGAAAAGGCCATATTTTGGGTGGTTGGTGGTCAAAAATAGAGGTCATTCAGGTTCTAGGTACCTAGGTACATACGTAAATACGTACATACACCCAAAAACTACACCTAGTTAGGATTCAACTCATTGACCTTTGACCCCTCACCACCAATTTGGTGCCATCTCCACAGGTGCACTCCATGGACAGATCGAGCCAGATGCTGCGAGCGCCTTGCTCGCGGCCTGCATGGAGGACGTCAGCTCTCGGCCTTCATGGTCGGTGGTCGGAGCTCCACGGCGGCCAAGCTACGGCGAACCACCATGGTTTTGGGCAAAGAGTTTTGGCCCTCAGGGTCTCTTTTTATTCTGACCTTGTGTCCGCTTAAGAAGGGGTTTGGGGGTGCACCTTTCTTTTGAGTCATGTATCTCTTGTATGTGATTTGTGTATATATATATAACCGTTAACCATGGTCTTTGGATGAATACGACACGAAAAGGAAACCCCGCACTTGTAGATCATACGGACATTGGGGCCAAGAGGGAATTGCTAATTCGATCGTTTTATGTCAAATATATGGAACATGACGAGCAACAAACTCCAATATGGGTTCAATTTTGTTTCAGGTTTTCTTGGCATGGTGGTAACTGCCCTGCACTGATTTCCAGAAACACGTTCACCTCGCGAAGCGTCGTCTTTCATCAAAGTTGAGCATGTTTCTGCGTATCTCATGATGAGTCACTGGGTCCCCAGACGAACGGAACCCAAAGCCACCAGTTGGGGAAGACGGTCAATCGGGTTCATGTCTTGAGGGATCTAGCACGTGGTGTTTGACGTGTTTGGCTCTGGATTCTTGACGTTTCCTGTGGATCCACATACCGAACCTCAGAAGGTATGACTGAGCTCTCCTGGCGCCTACATAATTAGTCTCCAATCATCTTCTCAGAAGGTATGTGGATCCATAGGTGTTGACACTTGGCTAGCTTGGGGGGAGCTGAGGTCCGATCCATCGACAGAGAAACACCATGCACTCGAATTCTGCAGGTTTGGTTGCAAGGAAACATGGAGACTCTCCCATCGTGCCAGCTGGTTTCCATTGAGTTTGGGCATGCCAGAAACCCAGCCATACCTGGATCTTCCTGCAACATATCGGCCAAACTTAGCGTTTGGCGTGGTTTTTCGATGCAAAGGCAAGAGTCCTGCAGAAGTCAACCACTTTTTCAGCTAGTTCCACGGGTCGCTTCCCCCCACCACGTCCCGTGTCGTTACAGGAGATGGAGACCCATCGCGCGGAGATCGTCGCGCAGCAGGTCGCCAGGGGATCGGGCGGATGGTGACGGACGGACGCTGTAGACGGCGCAGCGCTTGGACGCGTGGGTCACGAAGATCGCGTGGTCTGGCTGGATTGGTTCGTTCCGGTGGGGAGAGGGGCGTTGGGTTGGGTCAACCAAAAGACCTTGAGGGGCTGGGTTTGGGGAGAAAAGGGGAGTCGATGAAAAGCTTAGTCACTGGAAGTGACCAACCTGGGTTGAACAGAGGAGAATTGTAGTGATGGCCCAAACTGATGAGCATGTTTGCTGGGAATTGACTTAGTGCATTGATTGTTTTACCTCGTGTTGACGTGTTTTTTTGTCATATATCTCCGAGTCAATGTGTGCATTCAACATCCGAAGACGCGTTTCAATCGGTTGTTCAAGGGTTTTGGCCCTATTGTGTGGCTCTGTCTTAACTCACTCTGTATGTTCTCATATACAGTTTTTGGTCTCACCATTTGACCAAATCCACTAGTGTTTGAAAACTATTCTGCCCCCCTTGACATTTTACCGGTACCCTCGTAATCCCTCGTTCGGCGCGGCCGAGGCCCAGCGGGTGGAAGATCGTTTCCTCCGAGAGCAGCAAGACCGTGCCTTGGACACGAACGTAGCGAGAAGCTACATGCGGGGCCCCAAAAAAGGCACATCAAAAACCTGCTTTTCCCTGGCAAAAACACTGGCTTTGGTTTCTGAAAACCTCTCTTTTTTGCATGGTTTGGTTCTTGCCCCTAGGGTGGAGGCCATGTAGCTCGGATGAAGGCGACTCCACAGGATCAAGGGGTTCACCGATGTGCCTCTGAAGGAATCCTCGGAAACTGGAGGGCTCAACCATGAGGGACACGGGGACCGGCGCTGGGACGATCCGGATGGCGCAACTCACGAATGGTGAAGGCCCGAGTACAAGAGGACACATGAGGACGCTTAAAGTAGACCATTTCAAATCTAGATACAAAAGTTGTGCACAAAACAGGTGGCCTGAACAATCAGAAACCTCCTTCGATCAGCAGCGTTAGCAATAAATTCAGTTTGAAAGGTCCAAGTTATGATTGTCATTTTGGAGGAAGATTGCCCATCAGTTGGGCATGAACATGTTCTTTTGGGCAAATTTAGGCGTTGGCAGCAACCGCACCAAACATAAACAAACAGTGTCTCGGACAAATGATATAGTATTTGGATGCTCCATGCGAGACAGCCACGGTTGGAACACTCACGGGGTGGGCTCCAAGTGGTATCACCGCAATCCGAAGCCCAGCAACCATTGCAGCATGGTATGTGCTCTAAGTGACCTATATTCAGGGCCTCATCCTGGGATATCAGGGACGGTTACGTACTGCAGGTCCTGGTACATGTCTATCATGTCACTCAACCAGTGTACTGTAGCTGAACTCTCCCCACGGCCAGGGGAATACCAGGAGGCATTGGAAATGGATAGATGCTCGGCAGAAAGAACGGAGCAACGGAGCAGCTTGGATCCTCCCTCCGGTTTCTAGATTGAAAAAATGGGACATGACCCACCCTTTGACTCCTTTGTCCAACGACCCATTAGCAAATGAGTCCCAAGCTTTAAGAAAACATAAACAGCACAACTTTTGAGCATACTGTGGTCGTTAACAACATTGCTCACACAAAGTTGGATGCGAAGTTGTACTCTATATCCTGGACCCCCCAAACCACCCCAATGTAGGTAATATGCCATACATGGAGTGTCTGGGTATCATTCCAGTTTTTGTTAATTCGACCGTTGGACCGTTTGTTCTCGTTCGTTGGAGACCGGGAAAAACAACGGTGTCACGTCCTTGCAACGTTTGGAGAAGACGGCGGAGTATGAGTACCACCGGGGTCTGACCGATGAAGCTAGAGGTTTCATCTTTAGAACTATATATATATATAGACATGACATTAACTTATAAGACATGATCAATCACACATCAAACATCAGGTCATTATAAACGCTATAGATTGACTTCATCATAGTTCATCAAAAGGTGCAACCGTGGAAGACATTGTTTCAAGTTCGCTTTGATCGCCTTTCTCATTGGCCGACGACGTGGAAGGTATGCGAAGGGCACAGCACCAAGAGCCACAGCGAAGGACACTGCAAACATGGCAGCTGATCTTACTTTGGCGACGTCCTCACATGGAATTTTCTCCGAAGCTTCTGCAACTCCGAGGTGATGTGAACACATCATTCTCCTTCGCTATCCGATATGCTGCTGGCTCAATACAAAGCCTCTATGTTGTTTTGCTTTATATGGCAGACAACACGATGACCGAAGACGTCACCGATGCGGGTCCCGATGCACCGGTCGATCGGTGTCGATCCGTCGGTCGAGACCGAAGATGGGGTCGTGGGAGTGGAGCAGATCAGCCTGCTTTTGCGGTGTGCAGAGCTTGAATAGATCGCAGACCAGTAAAGAATAACAAAAAACCGCAGATTTGGCACTTTCATTGTTCGGCCTAAATATCCACTCTGGAGTTGAATTGATCAACTCATGGTGAGATGAACGTGTGCAAAAAATGCTGCTTTACCGTTATGGTGGCTTCACTGTACCACGGCTGGAGTGGTGATTCCGGGGAATGGAAGCCAACAACTCCCCTTCTTTGGCTGGTGGCCTGCTCCCCACGACGCCCGCAGATTCGGCGCAGAAGACTTTAAGGTTTTTAAGGGGATGGAATGGGGATAGAATGGATACATGGGCCTGACCTGACCTCAATCTCAACAGAATCTCTGAGCACTAGAAACCTCAGAAGGTCTAGGGAGTTTTGTAGGAGTTTGCTCAGTTTGCTCTGCAGGTATATGGACACCAGGACATAGGAAAAGTATGGAAAAGTGGTTCAAGGGCATCTTTTAACTATAGGGATAGTCACTTGGGAATGTCCACCGAAGAGGTCTCAGAATCTATAATTTGCTCACTGAGGAAGACGCGCGGAGGAGAGAGAAGCGCAAAGGCGCAGAGAAGAAGAGGAGCGACAGAAGGCAACAGAGCGACAGGGAGCACAGCGGAGAGTGGGGGTCGTGGACAGTGTTGTAGTCCTTAGATGTCCTTAGATTCTCAAAGTCGCCAAGAGTTGTCTTTGTTGAACTGGTTTGTTCCCAGCTCAACTTGCTCCGGAGCAGTTGGGTTGGCAGATCGGCAGATGGAGTCAAGCAATGTTTGGAAACTTGAACAAATCCCATGTCTATACCAGCGATGGCAATGGTGTTTCGTCCTCCCAGCAGCTGCACCGCGCGCCAAACCAGCCGCGGACAAGCTTGAGGTAGAAGGGGCTGCAGCGACGAAGCTGCGGCATGCAGTTATGACATGTTAAAACCATGCTATTCGAGAACCAGTGACGCGTGTGACATATCATGGCGATGGTTCTGAATGCGGATTGCGAAGGTCGAATCCCGTACACTCCATGGGACTGCCATAGGACTGCCGCCGCAGACAGACCCCGACTTCAACCACCCCTGGCCGTTTCTCGCCAGTCCTATGCCAGTCCCGAGCATTCTTCGTTCGATTCGTTACCTGCGCCGGCGCCCAGCTGAAAGGATGTGCGATGCAGACAGGTAGGTCCAGGTCACCACGGGTAGTACAAGTCCTGTCCTGGTTTTAGGACCTTTTTGGCCAGCATCACCCATAACCACGTCATTTGCACAGTATATCCCTAGGGCTCCTGGCCCACCTCCGTTTCGAAGATGGTTGGGGTGGGTGCCAGGGGGGTCCGTGCCCACCGAACCTGAGGACATGGACCAAGGAGCCCTAGGGATAGAACCGGCATCTCCACCCCTTCTTCCCCGGTGCGCACCGGACGGCAGCCGCAGCGCCACCCGTGCCGTAGCGCTCGGCGGCGGCGTTTGTGAGAGGCGCTGCGCCAGGGTGCGACGCTTGGCCTCCGCGAAGCAGTGAAAGGACGACGAGTGCGGCCTTACTCGAAAAGATCACAAGCCAACTGCCAAAGGCAGCCAACCATGAAGCAATGATGCCACGGGTACCATGAAGCAGCATGACAGGAATTTAGGACGTGATTTGATGGGTCGATGAGCCACCATGTAGCGACCATGAGCCCTCCACCAAGTTTTTTAAGGGTCCATACACCAAACTCCTGGGCGCGACTTCGTTGGCGCGACGTTCCACATGTTCACTCAGTTCACTCGCCTCAAGCTCTTCCTGGGCTCGTTGGAGTTTCTCCTCGGTGCCACGCGGAGCTGCGGTGCCGTACGGGGCGCCACGGATCGAAGCTCCGTCAGTCGCATCCGACTGGTTGGTGGCGACTCAGTGGGTGACACATCCAAAGTAAAGGTTGAACATATCCAAAACCACCACCTACCAGGACCTTCAGTACGAGACCGTCCGACCGAGATCGAATGAGGTCACGACTTGTCCCTAAAGAGGTCACAGACAGAGACTCCAAATAGGTCACGTACTGAAGGTCCTGGTAGAAGAAGTGTCATTCTCTGGGCCCAGTGGATGACCATGGTTCAGTTGCAGGCCGACCTCACTATGCCAAGAAGTCTCCAACTCCTCTTGTGCTTTTCTCTGCTCCTCCTCGACCTGCAAAGTCAACCGGAACGCTCCGAGCTCCAAAATCTCCTGTCTCTGTCGTAGTGTTCCACTCCCACCAGTTACATTTATACCCTAGGGCTCTAACCATACTCAGAAGGTGGGCACAGACCCCCCCTGGCACCCACCCCAACCATCTTCGAAACGGAGGTGGGCCAGGAGCCCTAGGGTATAGGGATTCAGTTGGGATTGAAGATAGGGTTCAGGTGGGACCTTGACTTTGGGGTGAGCTGGGTTTGGAGGGTCGATTGGGCGAGTATTTAAATGTTTGATGGCGGGAATTAGGGGTGTTCAATGTCATTTGGGTGGCGGATTCAGATCAGGGGTGGCAACACGGTGGTGTGTTGGTTTAAGAAGGGAACAGAAGGGCCAAGAGCTTTTGACCAGAACCAACTCATCCAGAGGGGAGAAGGAGTCCAATGCTTGCAACCATTTTTTTGGATGACCTACCTAGAAGCTCAGGCTACATGGTCGAGGGCTCCATGTTTTGACCCATCCTTCATATATAGTTCTCAACTACCCAACAGAAGCAAAGATGATGTGAACTGAGAACAACAGTGCATGTTCTAGGCACTCAGGCATTCCAGGACCTGCACTCGGGCATTCATGCTCTGGAGAGTGCTTTAGAGAATACAAGATCGATGTTCATGCATGTGAGCGACAACTGTTAGCATGTAAAATCAATCATAAATCATACATCAATCAAATCCTTGAAATGAACATCAAGACATCAAGTCTTCATTCTTGGACATCATGTTGATTTCCCACTTCAGTCCGTTCCACAGCGAAGACAGTTGTCGCACGTCCCCTCTGTGTGGAGCACACGATGTTGACAGGCCAGCGTTTGGACCGGAAGTTTGAGCCCAGCGCGACGCTGCAGGAGGTCTACGACACTTGGCACTGGTCAGCGGACACGCTGGACACGCGCACATCGGCCGGACAGTTCTTGAGCTACCGTACCCCCAAATGGATGGTGACTGGTGGGAACTACAAGCATCCAGTATAAGCAGTATTACATAGACTCTTGATAAATAACCCCCCCAATCTAAATGGGAAGGGAGGTGATTAATCAACAGTCTACATTGGGATTTCCGGTTTTGGCCGCTCAGCAGACCGGTGCCGGTTTAGCCCGGCCTCCACTGCAGGCACAGTCCACCTTCCTCGACATGAACCGGTTGTTTTATTGTTTTTGTTTTTTTTTTATTTTCTTTTTTTCACAGGCACAGGGTCGTTGAGCCAGCTCATGTATCCACTTAGCCAGGCTGCTGAAGCATGTTCGGCGCAGTTCCCCCATCCAAGTCCAAGAAGACCGTCACCTCGTCTCTGTTTTTTTTTTTCTGATCATCGCTCTCGTTTGGGTCCATGCACTGTTTAGACTCATATGTAAACATGGGCGTTGTTCAGGCCATGGCAGCCAAGCGTCCAACAGTTTTGATGAGAAGTATACGTAAGAAAGAGACTCACTCACTCAACGTCATGTGCTTGAGAAGCTCACCATCCAACACCTTTGACTTGAAGGTTTAAGAATGACAGTGACACTGAACAGGGTCATCTACTGTATGTTCAAGTATAGCGACACTGATTTTAAGACTTTGCATCGTGCATGTGGCAAGGTTGAGTTAATAACGAGTCAAATTACAGTACCCAAATAAACCCTCCAAGATCCATAGTTTGTTGTGACCCTACCACGCAATCTGCAAGTTTTTCACCAAGCCACACGGATTTGGAACGGGCCGTCACGGGCGGTCACGGGGGGTAATAATAATTATATGGCTTGGAGACTGGAGGCTTCTGGTTTGGGTCGGAGATGAAGTGTCTGTGACAGGTGGCTGTGGGGAGACCCAGACCAAACCGATTGATCACGGGCGCGCCACCCATCCCACCGTTCCTGGGAAGTCACGACCGTTGAGGTCATGTGGCCAGTCCCAACCGAGCACGGCGGACGCACGACGCGATACGACGGGCACGGCGCCGCTTAACCAAGGATTGGGCCCACTGTGTGGCGTTTTTGCCTGAGCATGCGGACAAGGCACGGGTTGCCAACTGTGTCACGGTCCAGGGCTGTGCAAAGGACTTTAATGGATGGCCACTGGGTGTTGAGCATCAAGAGGAATTGGTTTCTTAGTTACTTTTTTGAGACACCCTTGAAAAGGTTTAGCTTGAATGGCCACCGTTTTTTAATCCTAGGGAGGTTTAACCAAGCTGGTGGACCATATTCAGGGGAGTTCTTCACCTTGTAATTGGTAGGACGTCGTACCTGTCGTCATCGGGTTTTGTCCTATGTCCTACGGTACTTGAAGTCGGGTGCAGGTTGCCACGCTGGCTGTTCCCCCGAGAAGACGCGACAATGAGCGATGGCTCCGATGGACATGCCGCACAAAACGGACGACACTCCACCTACCACAAGCAGCTGGATCTTGTTCTTTTGTTTCAGTAGCTTCATCATCGCAACCCCCCAGAAAAGATCATGCATTTGAATTCCCTTAGTCCTTAAACATATTTCTTATACACGAGACAACTGCCTCGGAACACTCCTCAAATACAGCAACAGTCGTGTCACCACTTGGGATTTCAGACTTGAACCTAAACCCCATGATGTCGGCGAATGGGTCCTTGCCCACTTCCTTCAAACCATCATGCACATCCGTGCACTCTTTGTACGTTCCGCCACGCGGTCGGGGCTTGAACCGCTGCCGCATCGGTCGACCTTCCCGCCAGGGCCTGGAGATTCCGGAGCGCTTCGTGTTGAAGACCAGCTTCCCGGTGCCTGGGACGCTTCGCGGGAAGCACCGAACAGAACGAACACCCCGAGCTTCGGGACGAGAGTGAGAGACCAACCGGTGCCACCGTGTCAGCGGCCAGGGGCACGGCCGACTTCTCGAAACAGGGGAACAGAATTGGTCCTCAGTTTTCAGCCCATTTCAGAGTCCCACTCTTGCATCTAGCGCACGGGGGGGGGAGGTTTCCCCAACCGAAGCTCAGATGAGTCGAATCGACTGTTCTGACTGGTCGTGCACCATGGCAGTCGTGACGGTGCGAGTGACCTCAGAGTTCTGCGGCACGGTGCACCACGGATTTCCAACTGTTCAAGTTCAAGACGCTTCTGATGATTTTGCAAGTGAAACTGAAACTCATGACTTTCAAAGTTAAACCAAACTGAAGAAGTTCACAAACTCCCGCTGACTTTGTCGCATAAAGCCTGGCAAAGTGAAGTTGACGAGAAGTTCCAACGACTGGGTGCATGCAGATAGCCATGCTAAAACCATCCAAAAATACAGATTTGTCGCTCAAAGGTAGGCACCAGGAGTAGCCGATGGCTATATTCTGTCTCAAACATGTTGCAGGTTCCAAGCTTGCAAAAGGATCATATTTGCGCATTAGATTTTTCCATTTAATTATTTCCTTCTTTTTGTCACATGTTTTCCGCATCTTTCACATGGCTGAGATCCACTCGCCGATAAATGTGGGAAAGAACCATCGCCGGCGCCCAAAACGGATGAGGTGCAAGAGCTCAATGAGATGACCCGTACCGTGGGCGGCAGACGCGGCCGCCGGGAACACGCGGCAGACGCGAACGCGAGGAGACGCGAGGACAGGAGGAGGGCGAAGATGTTTTCACTTGCTTTGTGAGACTCATTTTTTGGGGGCCAAGCTGAATGAGCAAGATTGAACTTCAGATTTGTTGCTTGTGAAGCAACATGTTGACCATGTATCCACTTCTCGGGTCCAATGTCAAGTTGTGGAAGGCTTAAGTTTGACCATTTCTCACCAGTGGAACCTCTGTGGTTCGGGAGCAATCGTCCAATCATAAGCACACCAACATGGGACGTGCAGCCAATCCTTGACAAGGTTCCTAAAGACCAAGCCATTGATCGGGATCCACATGCCCTTTGATAAGGTGATTGGAGACACTGTTATGTATACGTTTGGAGGTATCCATGAGGATGTGATTTACATGTAGGCTGTTGATATAATATATATATATACATATTAAAAAACACAACTCCATAGCAATAGTGGTTTTACATCCAAATTGGCGGGATCATTTAACAAGAGTCGACATACATGGAAGTAGATGTCTTGGCCTGGCGACTGGTGGCCTGGGAGGAAGACGTGTTTCTCCAAATGAGGTGAATCTTCCACTACTTATCACTACTTGTTGTCATGTACTGTTCCTTAATCCACTGCTGAAATCAAACCTGTTGTGGCTTGGCTTGGACTATCTGCAAGATCTGCAAGTCGCGCGTATAGTCGCATTCTTCCTTGCCTATACTATCCTTCCTTCCTTGCACCTAGTCGCAGGGGGGTGACATGGCCTAGACTTCCGAAGTGGATCCTCACCACACGCCGCGCGTGACATCGCGGCCATGGTGTTCGCTCGGCTGAGGGACAGTGGACGAGCTGAAGTTGTCCGGGACGAATATCCTCCTGGCCGCCATCGAGGCATAGACACGAGGCTTTTTGTATAACCTGAGGGAACCAACCATCCTTGTACCAGGAGTCACAGAGCTCGGGGTGGTTTGGGTGGTTTCTAGTCCCATCCAGTGAGTGGATGTCCTGGGGACCCCGACTTCCTCCATTAAGCACCTCTTTGTGACTGCTGGTATGTTATTGTTTCTATCAAAACAGGAGTCAGACAGACACCTGAAGCACGACCTGTATACCTCAAGGGCTTGGGTACAGAGGCCAGGTCCTTGCTTTTGGTATGTTTTCATGGACGATAGGGTGATAAAAGGTAAGAAGAGGTGATATTCCCACCCCAACCACCTTCGAGACGGAGGTAGGCCAGGACCCCGAACGGGGCTTTTGGCGGTCACTTCGCTGGGGGATCGTTCTTCCGCCCAGAAATTCCTCGGACGTCGCGGACGTCGTCGTTTTCGTTTTCGTCGTCCGAGAGTCTGAATATTGATCCATTCTTGTTGCAGAAGGGTGGAGCAAAATCTTCTTGTTCGGGTCCCATGGGTTGGTGGTGGTTTCAGATCGAATCGACCTTGGATGCATTTTCCAGTAAGTTGAAACCACCAACAAACCATCCAGGCTGCGCCTCAAGGCGCAGGGACTGATCCTCCAGGCTCCTGTGGATCACCCAATCACCAATGCACTCCTCTATGCAACTTTACAAGTTGGCAGTCGACCTGCGGGTCGAGTCGTTCATGGAACTGGTCGGGGTCCATCGCTGGTGTTTGGGCGCCAAGAAATATCCCCCGAAACCGGAGAAGATGTATCGTTACTGGACAGCAAAACCCTCTGACGGTCATCCAAACCCACAAGTCTTAAGAGGAACACTCTGTCGGGCCATGCGAGGTTACCATATGTTACCATGCAAAACCCCCAAGCCCTATGGATCCACTGCCACCCAACCTCAGAAGCTATGACTGGGCTCGACTGGCGCCTACATCAATAGTCTCCCTGCTCACCGTACCGACCTGGTTCGGTCTGTGGATCCCAGAAGGTCGGGTATTGTCCAACCCCGCAGTTCCCATGTTCCGTACGGTAACCTCGGTTGAATGACCCGAACTAGAAGGTGACTGGTCCTAGGTCCTAGTGACCTGGTCACTGGATACCTCTCTTGGAACCCAATCACTTCGTTGCCGGCTCCCGGCAGATCCCGGTCGCGCCAGGACGACTGAGACGCGAACACGCGAGACGCAGAAGGACGCAGGATGCAGGTAGCGAGGACCAGCCGTGAGGATTTCTGAAGAGCCAATGGAATGCCTGGGATTCGGAAGATGTCTAAAGCGAAGATTTGGAAGGTAGAATGTAGATGCAAGATAGTTGGCACATGTTGGCACACGGCGGACTTGTGTATTTATATAGACCGTCTTGAACACCA